AACCTAGATGTCCCTCACCTGAAAAGTGGATAGAGAAAATGTGGTACATCTACACAATGGAGTACTATTCAGCAGAAAAAAATAATGGAATCATGAGATTCGCAGGCAAATGGATGACACTAGAAGAAACCATCCTGAGTGAGGTAACCCAGTCACAAAAAGAGAAACATGGCATGTACTCTCTCATATATGGATTTTAGACATAGATCTGGGGAGTGCCAGCCTACAATCCTATGGCCAGAATGTCTGGGAAACAGAAACTTCATTTAGTGGCTGATCGAAGAAGAGGCAGACTCCCTTGGTTAAGTACTGAGCTGAACTCAAGAAAGCCAGTAACAGAGAGGGAGGACTGATGATCAAAGGGATTAAGACTGGGCTGGTTTAACCCCAGAAACAGCTGACCAGACAAAGATTAACTCTTGAATCCCAGGCATTAGCCTGGGAATCCAGCATGGGACTGATCAAGACCCCCTGAATCTGGGTGTCAGTGAAGAGGCCTAGGGAATCTATTGAGCCTTGGGCAGCAGATCAGTACCCATCCCAAGTATACACACGGACTTTGGACTCCAATAGAACAATGTGAGGTGCACTCTCACCCTGAACTCTTGGGAAAGGGTCTAGGCCCTGCCCTATATGAAATGACAGACTATGGACACCCCCATGGAGGGCCTCACCCTCCCTGGAGAAATGAGGGGATAACTGGGGGGGGGGGGGAGGGCACGGGAGGAAGGGAGGGAATGGGAGAGGGACCTGGAACTGACTTGTGAAGCAACCTTGATTCTTATCTAAATTTAAACTGGAAAATAAAAGTTAAAAAAAATAAAAAAAAACAAGAAAAAAAAGTGGGCTGCAGAACTAAATAGAGAGTTTTCAATAGAGGAGTCTAAAATGGCTAAAAGGCACTTGAAAAAGTGCTCAACATCCTTAGCCATCTGGGAAATGCAAATCAAAACAACTCTGAGATACCATCTCACTCCTGTCAGAATGGCTAAAATCAAAAACACCAATGACAATTTATGCTGGAGAGGATGTGGTGAAAGGGGGACACTCCTCCATTGCTGGTGGGAGTGCCAACTGGTTCAGCCACTTTGGAAATCAGTGTGGAGATTCCTCAGAAAAATGGGAATAAACCTACCACAAGACCCAGCAACTCCAATCTTAGGCATATATCCAAAAGATGCCCATTCATACAACAAAGATGTCTGTTCCACTATGTTCATAGCAGCTTTATTTGTAATAGCCAGAACTTGGAAGCAACCTAGATGTCCCTCAACCGAAGAGTGGATAGAGAAAATGTGGTACATCTACACAATGGAGTACTATTCAGCAGAAAAAAAATAATGGAATCATGAGATTCGCAGGCAAATGGATGACACTAGAAGAAACCATCCTGAGTGAGGTAACCCAGTCACAAAAAGAGAAACATGGCATGTACTCTCTCATATATGGATTTTAGACATAGATCTGGGGAGTGCCAGCCTACAATCCTATGGCCAGAATGTCTGGGAAACAGAAACTTCATTTAGTGGCTGATCGAAGAAGAGGCAGACTCCCTTGGTTAAGTACTGAGCTGAATTCAAGAAAGCCAGTAACAGAGAGGGAGGACTGATGATCAAATGGATCAAGACTGGGCTGGTTTAACCCCCAGAAACAGCTGACCAGACAAAGATTAACTCTTGAATCCCAGGCATCAGCCTGGGAATCCAGCATGGGACTGATCAAGACCCCCCTGAATCTGGGTGTCAGTGAGGAGGCCTAGGTAATCTATTGAGCCTTGGGCAGCAGATCAGTACCCATCCCAAGTATACACACGGACTTTGGACTCCCATAGAACAATATGAGGTGCACTCTCACCCTGAACTCTTGGGGAAGGGTCTAGGCCCTGCCCTATATGAAATGACAGACTATGGACATCCCCATGGAGGGCCTCACTCTCCCTGGGGGAATGAGGGGATAACGGGGGGGGGGGGGTTGGGGTGAGGACACGGGAGGAGGGGAGGGAAAGGGAGAGGGACCTGGAACTGACTTGTGAAGCAACCTTGTTTCTTATCTAAATTTAAACTGGAAAATAAAATATATATAAAAAAACATACTCAATTCCCAAAACTTGACTCTCAAGGATCAACATAGAGTTTATAGCAATCTTTGTATCTGAAAACCTCTATTGCATCAGTTTTCTCTCTTTATTTCATACCTTTCTCCTCTTTTCTCTGTCATCCCTTTCGTTTGTGTGTGTGTGTATAAGAGAGAGATGTATGAGAGAGATGTATACATATATATCCTCTTATAGAATATAGTGAGTTTAGAGAAAACACAATACTTATAATGAAAATGATACTATTTAACAAGTACATTAACAAACTCTGCAGGCCAATGATAATCATCAACTGTAACACCAAATAAAAATTACATATCGATGATATTTTATTACAACTAATCCTCACAGTCACCCACAAATAAAATACTACAGTTAACTTCACTTTAAATACATAGCTATTACTTTTCAAAGCATTTGGTATTTACCCGTGCAACAGAGATGTAATCCAACAAACCTGAATATTGAAACCTTTCTCAAAGAAATTGCATTTGAAACATTCCAGAATGCCTAATATAGAAGACTATGGATTGCACAGAAGTGATTGGTGACCTGCGGTCAAGCAAGTTATTTTTCTTCACAATCTAAGAAAGTTTTTGTTTTCTCTTTCTCCATTTCACTTTGAAAAATAGATTTTATTGTATATCTGTCTATATCATATAAAAATAATGCCAATAATTTCATTACTTTATTTAATGATTAGAATTCCCTAAATTAGAGTAGAAAAATTAGAAAGAAAAATAATGTTTAGCTAACATATGCCATGCACTCTTCTAATGCATATTATCTATTGTCTGCTGCACACCCATGCAAAGTATAAACTATTAACTTTGGGTTTATTTGGGAAAGAAATTGTCCAAGGTTAACTATTAATATAGCAATGCCACATAATAGTAGAATCCCAGCTCCTTAATGCACAGCCCTGATTTCACATCCCACAATGGTTAGCTCTTAGTAAAGCTAACCATTTTATACCTTCTTGTTTCTCTGAAAGTTAAACATGAGTCAAATTCAGATGCTTGTCTTTCCTTTTGTTTGTTATCTTCCTTTCCATTTTCACTTTTCTCATCTGCCCTTGAACTTTTGAAAATATTAATGATAAGTCAAACCAACAATGTAAAGTCACTAAGGCATTGTCATTCCAAGGCAATGCTGTTAAATGTGAGCATTGTTATACCAGATGTATACAGTTCAGTTTTTATGCAAGTATATGGATTTGGATTTGTGTGTGCTTTGGTTAGTTAAATCATGAGAGGGCTCTTGTATCCAACAGCACATTAGCAAGTGGATTGGAAGATAGTTAAAGAAAGGAAAGATGCAATGTTCCATGACCTGAAGACTAAAAGGCATCCACCATTTTATCCTTTACAGGCTGATTAGCGTGAATTTAGTTTTCTTTGCTCTATGTTTACCCTAAAGCATTTTAACTTTTAGGGGAAAATGGGAACATGTTCCATAACTCCTTTTTAATGAGTTGAAAAGACATCACTGGCTCATTAAAGGAAGTGTTATTTCTGACACTTGGATGATATAATTCTTTTGTTTGATAGCTAAGGAAGTTTACCCCTTATCATTACCCTGAATACAAAGCACCAATTCTACAGACCTGGAAAGACTATTGGTTACATTTATATCTTCTTTTGAGTATTCGTTTTCTTGACTGCTGTAGCAAATTATTCCACACTTCACAGCTTAAAATAACAGACATTTATTCATTTTGGATCTGGAGGTTAAAAGTCAAGAATCAGAAATGCTGCTTCTCTATAATGTGTCCAGCGGAAGATCTGCTGTCTGCCTGCTCCACTGTCTTCTGAAGGTTGTTGGCATTGCTCAGTTTGGGGCCAAGGCATCATCTCTCTCTGTCTCTGTCTCTGTCTCTCTATTTTTCTGTTTGTCTCTGTCTCTCTGTCTGTCTCTCTCTGTCTCTCTGTCTCTCTCTCTCCCTCTCTTTCTCTGTGTTAATCTCTGTCTCTCTCTGTCTGTCTCTGTCTCTCCCTCTGTCCTCTCTCTCTTCTCTCTCTGTGTTTGTCTATGTCTCTCTCTGTCTATCTGTCTCTCTGTCTGTCTGTCTGTCTGTCTGTCTGTCTGTCTCTCTCTCTCTCTCCTATGTGTGTCTTCCCCTCTGCTCTCTTCCTCTGATAAGGAAGACTGTGATCACACCAGGGTTGTTCAAATGAATTTGACTGAATAATTAATTTACACATATCTGTGATATTCCTTTTAATGGATCTGGAGGTAATCTTAGGCTCTCAGGGGTTTAGATGTAGGCATTTTAGAGTGGACAGGTAATGGACAATAATCAGTCCATTTATATAGAGTAAATGGTAAACATAGGGGAATTAATTGAAGGAATGGGAATTTCAGTAAATAAAGTGAAACAGAGTTGTAAGTACAATCTTCCAAAACTTTCAGAGGACAGTGCCATATAAATGGCAATATCCTGTATTTGGGAGGGGGCTGCCCTTTTTGTGACTCTGATATCTGCTCAACATCTTCCAAACATGGAGACTGAAAGAGCAAATAAGTCTTTAAAGGCAGCACACCCAAAAATAGTGAAAGAAATGAGGACAGGGAGCACTGAATGTATAAATATGATGTTCTGAGATGGAGAGAAAATAAAAAAGGTAATGAGAAGTTGAGCAAACACTACTTTGGGAGTATATCACTATTCGTTCTACCTTATCCAAATAAATTTAGACATATTGTCAAATCCCAGGCTTTGATTTCTTATATTGCATAGTGTTCTATGTTATACTTCTGAACTTCCACTTTTATGAATAATATCTAGTTAAAATCCTTTTTTATTCAGTGCCAGCATAGAGATGGAGTATGTTGTAAAGATAGCATATTTGTACACTCATTCTACTCGCTTGAGCCTGTTACAAAGAAGCCGGAAGAGAGACTGATGTTCATTCAAGAAGCACATAGACTAAAATTGGAATGATGCACTGAAGATTAGCATGTCCCCTGCACAAGGACAACACACATATTGTACAAAACACTCAGGGTGTGTGTGTGTGTGTGTACAATTAAAAAAAATAAGAAGGCATGAACTTAAAGCAAGACATGTGTGGGAGGGGTTGGAGGGAGGAAAGGAAAGGGAAAAGTGTGTGATTGTAATTTATACAATAAAAAAGATGATCAAATCCTAAAAATAACATGAACTGCTGAAACTAGTAAAAGAATGATAGAGAAAGAGAAGAAAATAAGGCCCTAGCAACATCTGGACATTGTACCAGGACTCAGCTGCAGAGGGAGGATAAGCACCAACTGCCTAATATATCTAATTCCTCCTGTTTTTCCTGCTCTGGGGCTGAAATTATATGCACAATATCCTAGAGTATCTCATAGCCAAATAACGAGAGTCTTCTTACCTGAAAGAAGTCCTAACAGGGAACACAATGCATTGAAGGAGGGTCGTTCATGCTGTGTTTTATAAAGGACACCAAGAGAGGCACTGATAAATTCTCATAAAAAATGTTTGGAGAATGCCTCTAGGCTTACATTGAAGTGAAATTTTAAAAAACCTAGATGAGAGGCACAAAGTGGTGACAGATACATCTAGGGTACATGAGGGGACACAGATACATCTGGGGTACATGAGGGGACAGTGTCTTCTAACACCTGTCCTGTAGCTTGCCTTCCCTGAAATCAACATTGCTCTCAGACTGAATACAGCATTGTTAACACACATATTGCTCTTCTTAATTTACTGGTATCTGTAAGTCTGAAATATAGTTTCTATTTTTGAGGACAAAAATGTTGATTCTTAAATTTAAATTAGATCTTAAAATTCCTTTAGCCTTATCTTAAAGGAAGGGAAGACACTATTTACTATGTGCAGTGCCTTGTAGCAACCACACAGATTATTCAAATGAAATCTTTTAAAGTGACCAATACATTTTATTGCCACAGACCAAAAATATCTTCAGTCTAGGGATATACTGAAAGCATTGTTCAAAAGAAAACAAGCAAAGGACAAGTAAATCCCATTTGCTGGAAAATGTTCTATACCTGAGAGCAAAAGGTTTTACAGCATGGGCAAAGGGCACATGTTTCATAATTTTAGTCAATTAAGAAACTCCAATATTGACAAACTGGATTTCTTTGATAGTACATGGTGTAGAAACTGTCTAAGAAGGGGATTTTATGGAAGCTTCAGTTGCTTAGCAACCACTGACCCGTGGGGACCAGTTCATTTTTAGTCTGGAATAATAGGTCACCAAATGCCACCAGGATTACTGTGAGCCTCACATAAGGAATTCTCCAAACACATCAGAAGAGAAGTTGTCATCAGGGTCTGGCCTAACACCAGGATGTACATAACACATATTTGGGGGAAAATGATTCATTTAATACAGAGATCTTCTGTTTTTAAGTGACAGTGTTGTGACAGTCAGACCATCCACCTTTGAAGAATGTGTGATCAAATCCTGCAGCATTTTTCAGAGTCAAAGAGTAGAAAAATATAGGTCCTTGCTTTATTGAAACCTTGTTAACCTTTTAATAACCATGCTTTAGAATCCCGTGGACTCTTGTTAATCACCGATTGTCATATGAGAGTTTGCCTATTAACACTGGAATCACTATTCCCTAAAGCTGTGGTCTACAGAAGCTGACCAATGGGTGATAGTCAGAACAGTGATTACGGGTACTTTGAAGATGCAAAACAAACTTATTTTTGTGTGAGCCAGAAGACACTAGCAGCTGAGGCTAAACAATGCAATAATGAGATGTTATGCGTTGTTATGTCAGACGGAGAGAAGGAAGAGACTCTGGAGATGTTCCTTGCAGTCACCAGGGAAGATATAAAGAGTCCTCCAGCTGCAGCCATGCCATACCCACGCAGCTGCCTCTCGCTTGCACTCAGACTCCATGTCTCTTCTGGGCTACCCTGGGCTTTGCAGAGCCACTTCCCATAGAAATCACTGCTACATCCCTGTGACTCCTCCCATCGCCATCTGCTCAGATGATGTAAACCCTGCCTACAGACATTTCTTACCCAGCAGCTATCAAGGCAATCTCTGGCTTCTGGACCATTGTCAAGACTCCTACTGTCAAGCACCTTGCTGTGACTCTCCCAGCCACGAGCTCAAGACTTATACTCCAACTGGTGATCCCACGAACTCCTGTGCGCCTTGCAATTCCCCATCTGCCAGTCGAGTTGTTAGTGCCTGTGAAACTACCAACATCAGAACCAGACCCAGCTGCAGTCCCTGTCCTGGAACCAAAGGGTATGTATCCAATTGCACCACAGCTACTCGATTTGCATCTAAAGCCTGCCAAACTTCTCAAAATGGCTCCCACTTTGTAGGTCAATTTAATTCCTTCCCTAAGAATCTCCAGACCCAACGTCCCTGCGGTCTGGGCAACAGTGGATATAGAAGCTACGGAAATTTTGGATTCTTCACCAATGGCTTCTCCCCATCTTGCTACGTTACCAGTAGCTACCAACCCCAAAGTTACCTAACGAGATATTGCCGGTATTCAAATTATGGGCCTTCAAGCTTTCTACCACGGAGCTACTTATGTAGAAATTTTCAGTCTTTGAGCTATATACCTAGTACATTTCCACCTCTGAGATACTTATGCAGCAGTAACAGACCTCTGAATTGCTACTGATCGACTTACAGCTTGTACAAGAGCTCCGGATGGCCTGGTGGAGCAGATTCTACTCAGTTCCAAGGTCTCTACGAGTCTGCTAAATTGATTTATTCATCTCAGGAAGGCCGCTGCTCTGGCCTCAGGTGTGTTAACTCTAGACCTGATTAACCATTCCATAGTTTGTGCTTCGGTTAGTACTCTCTGTATAAAAAATTCTGATTGTGATAGTAGTGTTAATGGACTCCCTGAAGAAATTCCATATGCAGGACAGTCATCAAGAACTTTTTTTCTCTGGATGTCCCTTGCCTGCCATGGTGGTCTTCTCTCTTGGTTTGAAGGTTGACTTCAACAGTTTGTTCAGATTGTCGTGCTTCTCTCCAATAGCTTTTTCTAAACTTAAACTGCCTGACAAGCATCTTGCCAATGAAGGGAGAAATAAAACTCCCGTAAACATACTACTGTATGGGGCTATTTCTTCCTTCCCTCCTGAGCAAATATCAACAGCAAACATAACTACAAAAGAGAAAGCCTCAGCAACTTAGTCTTTCAACTATGACACAAAGAACACAGTTGATTGACAGTTGGAAGAAATCCTAAGAAGTGACTGAATCCCAGAAACTATGAGATAAAACAAAGAGAAAAAAATGTTACTGTAGATTCTCTATGATTCCTATAATTTGTCTGTGTTCTGAATTCTTCTGTCATTCTAATTCTAGAAATTGACTCGATTCTTGATTAATAAACAATTTTCTATCCGGAAACCATGGCTTCCCTTGTTGTTCATGACATGTTCACTGATATTTTGTCTATAATGAGCAAAGTATGCATACCACTGTTGGTTGTTTGATTTTTCTTTCTTTTTTTAAAAAAAATTGGTTTATAATCTAAGTTAAAATGTGGGAGGAAGGTTGAATATAAAATGTAGGCACTTTGTTTCTTGTTTTAATTTCTTTCTAAAACAATTTATTCATCTTATAATGCTTGTGATTAATTTTCAAATAAAGAAATGTAGGAAGAAATTATATAAATCAATTTAATAAAAGTATATATTCTGTTTATGACAATAAAATATAGATGCTATTTGAGAAGCTTATTAATTAAATATGGAATCTCTTGAAAAGTGATTTTAGGCCTATAAACTTCTCATGCAGAAAATGAAAATAAAACCTTCAATCTAAATGGTAAAAATACTATAATAGATAGCATTTCTGTGAGTGAAGATTGAACTATGTTTATAGGGAAACTATGTTTTATGGAGATGTATGCAACAGTCGACTGGAAGATTTGGAAAGATCAACATTACTGGCAGCTAGTGTTTCCTGGCTGCAGTAAATCTCTAAGGTAGGTTGCTTGCCTGGCCTGAAAGGTTTTGAATTTTACTTTTAGCACTTCAAAAGTAGTCAATGTGCATTTTAGGTCTTCATTGTTGTGAAGAGACACCTTGACCAAGGCAACTTTTCCTTTTTAAATTAGAAACAAGCTTCTTTTACATGTCAATCCCCATTCCACATCCCTTCCCTCCTCCCCTGCAGGCCACCAACCCCTATCCCATCCCTTTCTGCTCCCAAGGGAGGGTGAGGCCTTCCATGAGGGATCTTCAAAGTCTGTCATATCATTTGGAGGAGGGCCTCGACCCTCCCCTGTGTGTCTAGGCTGAGAGAGAATCCCTCTATGTGGACTGGGCTCCCAAAGTCCTTTCATGTAGTAGGAATAAATACTGATCCACTACCAGAGGCCCATATAGATTAACCAGACCTCCAAACTGACATCCTCGTTTAGGGGGTCTGGATCAGTTCTATGCTGGTTTCCTAGCTATCAGTCTGGGGTTCATGAGCTTCCCTTTTTCAGGTCATCTGTTTCTGTGGGTTCTATAGCCTGGTCTTGACACCTTTGCTCATCACTCCTCCCTCTCTGCAACTGGATTCCAGGAGTTCAGCTCAGTGTTTAGCTGTGGGTGTCCGCTTCTGCTTCCATCAGCTACTGGATGAAAGCTCTAGGATGGCATATAAGGTGGTCATCAATCTCGTTATCAGAGAAGGGCATTTAAGGTAGCCTCTCTACTATTGCTTAGATTATTAGTTGGGGTCATCCTTGTAGATCTCTGAACATTTCCCTAGTGCTAGATTTCTCTTTAAGTGTATAATGGCTCCCTCTATTATGGTATCTCTTTTCTTGCTCTCCTCTGTTCTTTCACTGACTGGATCTTCATGCTCTCTCCTGTCCTCCAATCCCCTCCTCTTCTCCCCTTTTCTTTCTTCTAACTCCCTCCCACCCATGCTACCAATTAGCTCAGGAGATCTTGTCCCTCTTCCCTTCTCTGGGAAACCATGTATGTCTGTCTCTCTTAGGGTCCTCCTTGTTTTATAGTTTCTCTGGAGGTATGGATTGTAGGGTGGTACTCCTCTGCCC